GAGAATATTGCAACTTGGTATAAAGTTATTGCAGACTTCAATATTGCATCAAAAGTAAAGCATGTGGTGTGTAAATGTACTTTGACCTCACGTGATTGAGGTCTATAAATAAGCATAGAGTCTCTGGACATATAGATTCATTCATTCATTTTCCAAGCATTCTTTCGTTCGTTGGTTTTGTTCGTTCTTCTGTGTATCTGCATTCTAGCACTCTGTACCACTGTTACAGACTATCAATTATAACCACAAAGAAACAGGAATTATCTTGTACCATAGTTGTTTATAATTTCTGTAACATTAGAGCTAATTTCTGTTCTTCTACTTTTCTCTCAGTTCTCTCTCTTTCCTCTCTAGACTTTTATTGCTCACACACTGCGCTCTTAGTGCATACACATATTGGAATAGTCTTTCAATTGATCAGTTATCTTTGAATACAAATCAACCTTTTACAAGCATATAGTCACTGATTGTGCATCTAATGTAAAGAAAGCTTTTTTAACCATACCAGGATATGAAATCGAGACTGACAATGAAGTGAGTGAGTCAAGTGATGATGAATCTCATCTCTCCTATCATGAATATCGAAGACATGCACTTGATGCTTTTGATGTCATTTAAATACCATGCTTGTTTCGCCCATGTTATTGAGCTGGTTGTTAAGAATTGGTTTAAAAAATTTTGGTCAGTTAAAGCCCCAACGTACATCATAGCTCCTCAGTACTGATCAGCATAAAGATGATTTAGGATCTTGTTATAAAAGTTTTAGCGCACAGTGCAACAGCTATAATTCTTCCCTATCGTATTGTAGGGACAAAAAAATTCTAGAGGCAATAATTGTTCTGTTGAAAAAAAATAGTGCAGCAGGCAGTCAGTTTGATGAAATAATGCTTGTCACCAATCTCTTTTATAGTAAATATAGTACCTAATCTCACCATTATGTAGGAATGAAATAATTCATTTTAACACAATTTTTTGTCTTTAATAATGGTTTGTTTTTTATGATTAAATGGTATTTTAAAGTCACACATAAAACACAGCATACACATGTATGGTACTATCATTTTCAATTGAGTTTGTGACAACCATTCAGAATAGAGTTGTCTTGCTCTGCAACTTTACTAATTTGCACTAGGTGGCCACCTCAATGTTGTGAATGCATGCTAGAGGGAGTGACAAGGGTGGATGGTGCATATTGGCAATTAATTGGATGTTATGGGAGTTGATATATTGTGGTTGTTAGTGTGGTATGAGCCAAGCACCCCATTCATTCTTTCAAATGCAAAGCACCAGAATGAATATACAGAGCCATAATCTGCTATGCATTCGTGTAAATGGCCTTGCAGATGCATGTTAATAGTGTGATGCTCTTTTCCCTATAATGTAACAACTTATTGCAAAATTCTATTATGTAAGCATCAGCATTATTCACTTCTAATGCAGTAAGAGATCTACGACATAAAAGATCACAGGCCTTTACAAACAACAACAAACAGTTGTAGTCACTTGCAGGAATTATACCTTTTAACGAGAAAAGAGAAAATAGTACAGTCCAGCTTCTCCATTGGTCAGCAGTGAAACCTGAAAATGGTGATTGAATTTCAGATGGAATTCGACCAACATCACTCGGACAGGAAAAACTATTAACTTTCTTTTGACTATGAACTAAAACTTGTGAGGAAATCATACCCTTCTGTTTCCAAACCTCAACACAGTGCTTTGCAGTACCCAATAATAAGTTACGCATTGGATCTATGATACACATTTGTGGTGCATCAAAATATGGTTGCTCAAGTAAACGTGAGTACCTCACTCCATGACTTTTTTCAATTGCTGCTTTTATAGATTTTGTTGCACCATTTTTATGTTGCATTGCAACTAATCTGTGACAGTTATTGTCTCGTTTGTCCCACGCTTCTCTATTAAAATTTGTATAATCAGGCTTGTCACCAAAGTGGTCTGTGGAAAAGACAAATTACACCTTGAACATTCTTTTGTTGCTCTATTTCCAAGAAAACCAGATACCTTCCTTGCTGCAGGAATGTCACAACCAACACACAAAAGTGCTGCACGAACAACAGGAGTATTGGAAGAAGTTAACATCTGTATATCATGCCATTGTTTCATTACATCACTCACCATTGGCTGTAAGAATGAATTAATGTGCAATTCCGGCTCTTTTGGGCCTGAAATTATTCCAACTAATATTATGTTTGTCTGTTCAAACCTCTGACTTCGTGGCAAGTTGAAGATTGAAAGATAAATTACTCCTTCAGATTGTTGAGTACGTTCAAAGGGGTTAAACCAGTCAACATTGAGGTGAAGAGCATAATTAAAAGATGTAGACAAAAATAGGACACCATTAAAAGAAGAAAATTCTTTCCAAACATTCCCATAATATACATCTTTATAAGTATGAGGTGTTGAAACACTTTGATGCCATTCTTATAAAGCTTTGTAACTGCTCTTCCTCCAATAAAATTACAAATACAATATTTGAAGTGACAAAGTTTTAGAGAAGTTTAGGTAATTAGATCCACTATAAAAAAGCAAACTCAGGTAGTCATCATGCACAGTGCAAAATTTCGGCACTGATATGCATTAAAAGTACAAAAACAGATTAAAATAAAATTGATTATGCTAGCTGTTAAACTCACATTGAGAACTTCTACAGCATCTGCTTTATCCCCTTCTATAGCATCTAATGCAGTATCTGATATGGCATCCACTTCATCATCATGATATACGACACTGTCACTATCTAAAATGGATCATAGTCATG